TGACTTTCAAGGCGTTTGAATGCTGTGCACTTGGCTCTGCCAGCCAAAACTTAGGGCTGCGTGGTGCTGCCTGGGTACTGGGGACTTGAACCCCTATAGCACCTTTGTTACAGTTGCACTGTGATTGTGAAGTGTAGCTCACTTGGATAAATTAAAAGGGCAGACTACTGTTCTCCACTTTGTACCACTGTGCAAAGTGCTGGCTGCGTCCAACTTAGCCGAATGCTCGGTCAGCCGTGCCTGGCTCCTTTTAGCTCGTTAAATTGTGTCTGGAGCAGTTCAGGCAGCTCCAAAGGAATTTTGTGTGTGTGTGAGCCAGTGGGGAGCTCAGAAAACGGTTAGTACAAACCCCATATTTTGCGCAGGAGGGAAAGGAAGCCAAGAGAGGTTAAATGGCTGCTGTAAATTAAACACCCAGGGAGAAAAGGCGGATTGTGCTTGCTCTGCCGAGCTCTTTTCTTGCTAGCTTCCATTTTTGGCGTCTGGGGCAGGGATGGCAGAGAACACAGTGGATCAAATCGGGCTGACAACCGTCCTGCTTATATTGTACACGTGTGCTCAGCAAAGTATTTAGAGAAGACGTAATTGTGTACATGAACTGGCAAGAGAGATGGAGAAGTACCGAGTTGCTGGGAATAAAGGCAAGCAGTATTGTAAGTGACAGCTTGGCTGCAAAGGCAGAGGACAGTTAAAGTCACCCATTCCTGTCTGCAGCCTGGGAGCGCAGCCTGCTTTTTCTGGGTCCTCAAGGAAGGTGTGTCTGAGAGAGGGGGGGGGTCCTGAAGATGATGTGGACATATACTCACTGTCCTTGAAAACTGGTGCAGCCCTGTGACCCTGGAACAGGTGTGTCTCCCCATGTAGGCTCCAGCGCAAAGAGAAGAGCAACCAGATGTAGACATCACAGCCAAAGGGCTGATTCAATTATCACGTCCTCCAGTGCTTAATCAGACCAGCTGCTGGGAGATGGATTCTATGGTCAAGACAGTGTTCAAGGGTTAGCCATGCGGTACAGTGCGTAAGTTACCTATTGGGACACGAGCGTGCCATGCCTGGGGTTCTGAGTGCAGCTTCCTGGTGACGCAGGAAGATGATGGCTCAAGTACTCAGGGTCCCTGCCAAATATGTGGGAGACCTGGACTTTTCGTCTCTGTGATGGGTCCTTGACCCAGCTTCACTGCCAGAGCCTGCAGTTTCAGCGCCAAGCCAGTAGGTTCCATGGGACTGATGCATTGTAGGTGAGGCTTCCAAACAGTCAGGAGACATAAGAGACCGAGCATACAGGAGATAAAATTGCTTCCACCCAGACTTGCAGTAGGAAGTATAGAGAGATTTCCCAGGAAAAATCAAGTTTAGATTCATACCCTTGGAGACAGGATTTGCATTACCAGCATGTGGCGGGAAATCCCTAGCCAGAAAGCTAAAAACAAAACTTGGTACTGCCTGTGGCAGGAACCCAGTCTTCCAGAAATTCCCAGAGAAAAACGAGCTTGACAATGAGAAATTACACAGATCACTAGGAGAGGAGTGGAGGGTCAACGGAAAGCAAAGCTTGAGGGTTAAAGATCCAGGAGGATGCAGAAATTGCACAGAGAAAAAGGCAGTGGTGCCTGTGGAAGGGAATATGTGAAATGAGACACTTGATGGACAGGTTACAGAGTAAGGGGTGCACAGCTAAACAGCTAAACATGAGGAGAGTCAGAGGGTGAAAACTTAGGCAAAGAGCACAGAGGACTTCTGGAGGGAACACCAGCACATATCTAGAAGGAGACTTCCAGAACAGAGGAGAGGATACACCTTGCAAGACACTCTGAAGAAATTTTACAAAATTGCTGGAAGGAAGGCACAGATCTCATTCACAGCTGATGATGTCATGACAAAGACAGGAAAAATACCAAAACAGACCAAGAGGGCAAGTTCATATTACCTGCGTAAGATCGACAACTGGCAGGACTTTCCCTCAATAACCGCAAAAGCCAGAGGACCACAGTGTAACTTCCAGTCTAGAATTCTACACCCAACTAAACTAGCATTCAAGTGTGAAAGCCACAGATCTTTTTATTTTTTAATTTATTATTACGTATAACACAAAAAATTATGAGGTAGTACTCTATGAATGTCCATATATATGCTTACTCCATTTTTCTAGTTAGCATCTCATTAGCATTTTGTCACAGTTATTGAACTACATCTAACATTCCTCTTAAATCCAAAATCCTTCTTTTTATTCCTCCTACTTGTCTCAATCTCTAGCAGTCAGCACTCAATGTTCAGGTTGAAGATGACGTCCTCTAGTTGCGATCGTTTTGCTTCAAATGATAGGATTTCGTTATTATTTACAGCTGAGTCATATTCCATTGTGTGAATATTGTATTTTCCTGATCTGTTTAGCTGGTGACAGGAATATGGTTGACTCCATGTGTCACCCACTGTGAACAGCGATGCTGTAAGCAATGGTTCAGGCATCCCTTTGGTGTCAGAAGTTCATGTGTTTTGAGTTTATGCCTTGTAGTGGAATTGCTGGGTCATACGGAAGTTTTGAGAAAACACATACCCTTTCTATAGTGACTGCATTGTTACGTTCCAACCAACAGTGTATAAATGTTGTCATTTCTTTACGTGCTTGCCAACATTTGCTTTTCTCTGTCTCTTGGATTTTAGCCATTTTGTCTAGGTTGAGGTGATAATTCATTGTGGATTTTTCATTTGCATTTGCCTTATGGCTTGTGATACTGAACACACACACACACATAAGTGTATACACGTACACACATATTTCTGTGCATTTGTTGGCTGTATTTCTTCTTTTGGGAATAGTTCACTGAAGTCCTTTTTCTCATTTCATATAACAGGTCGACTTTTTTTGGTGTTGGATTATTTGAGTGGCTGAGATTTTTAAAATAGTATTTGTTATTTATATGAAAAAGCTACACAATGAGAGAGAGCGATATTCCATCTGCTTGAAGGACTGTGGTGGTCGGGGCTATTGCGTTGATTTTTGTGGTTTTGTGGTGACAGGGATCCAATCTTGTTCTCCCTGTGTATGCACTCCCTCTCTTTGCTAGAGCTCTGTAGTACGCCTTGATATTAAGCATTGTGGTGTCTTCAGTTTGATTCTTTTTTGCTCAAGGTTGCTTTGGCTTGCAATGAAAGAATCTCAACCGAATTTGAACTGTGGTAGTGCAACAAGGCGAGGAATCCACCATGGGGGGTTCTGGGGAGGGGTGGGGGGAATCCCAGTGCCTATAAAACTGTGTCACATAATGCAATGTAATCAATAATAATAAAAAAGAAAGTAATAATAATTGATAGAAAATAGGGAAGGAAAAATAAAACATTAAAATTAACTTTCCAATTAAAAAGCTTATAGATTAATACAGAGATTCACAAATTGCCAGGTAAAATCGTGTGCCAGTTATAAAACTCATATATAATGTCGATCATAAAGCATAAAGATACCAGTGTGATAAGAGCAAAGCAGTGTTGATTAAATGTGCTCCGTGGAGGCTGTCATAAAACCACACAAAATAATCTTCTAGATAGAGGTGTTGCTACATACCAACCTAGGGACCAAAGGACTTGATGAGAACCTGAGATTAAGTACATCAATCTACAAAGTTTCTGTTATACAAATACAACTGGACAGAATTCTTAATAGCTGTCTGACTAGTGCACACATGCACACATACACACATACACACATGCACACATGCACACATGCTTGGGGTGTCCATGTTTTGCCACACATTTTCTCCTTGTATTTTGGTTGTTGTGGCTTTGTACTTCATCAGGTGTGGAATTGATGTTATAGTGCCCAGTCTTGGCTGAATTTAGTGTTTGGAAAGACAAGTACAGTTCCATCTCATTATCTGTGTAGTTGCAAGTTCACCCGGTATAGTTAATATCTAGCTGTAAGCCACAAATCAATACTCAGGATTTTGTGGTGTTTGACTGACATGCCCAAAGCAGTGAACATTCGGAGTCCCCCATGTGCCCATCCCCAGAGTGGGTGGAACAAGGCCACACTCAACTTCCAAGGGTCAACTCCTACTTGAATGAGTGCCCTTTGCTTATGTGTCCCACTTTTGTGATTTTGTTGGTGATTTCTCTTTTAAAGCACCCCACCCCCGCCTGTACCAGGAGAAGTGCTGAAGTCCCGTGTGTGATCCTGGGTGTGCCTTCCACAGAAGCTGCAGGTGTGAGGGGGCGCTTCACTGAGTGTGACTGACACTGCCCTTGTGAGCTGGGCTGTTTCAGAGGGCTTGTCACAACATACGTGGGAAATGTATATTATGAAGAATGATGCATGGACTTCAAGTTGATTTTTTTCTATGTATTTGACAAGTTTTTTTTTTCTTTTCTATGTATTTGATGAGAGAAACAGACACAGAGAGAACCTCCCCTGGTGATTCTACTGATTCACTATCTAGATGCTTGCAACAGCCAGTCTTGGGCCGGGCCAAAGCTAAGAGCCAGGAGCTCGGTGCGGATGGCAGGGACCTGATAAGTTAAGCAATGTTCTGCTGCCTTCCTGTGTAACAGGAGGCTGGAATTGGGAATGGAGTTGGGACTCAAAGCCAAATACCCTGCAAGAAGCAGCCGTCTCAACCACTCTGCCAGACGGCCCGCCTCAGATTTCGTCTTTTTCTATTTATTATCCGTGAACTTTTGAAAGTATCCTTGTATATTTAGTGTAGTATCTTTCAAACAGGGGCACATATAATACACGTTATATCTTCATAACGGATGCAATGGGGCCAGAGTAGCCCTAACTCGGTGTTTCCCGTAGGATGAATTGTCGGTATTCACCAATTGGTTGTTCACTGTAGCAAGCTAGGATGTGGTGCAATGGCTGTGATTCTCAAGAATCAACCATCCTCATGCGTGCATGTACGTGAGCAACAATGGAAGTCTCCTGCCTGAGTCGCACATCAAGGGGCCCCCAGGCAGCCTTCCCTCCCACCCTGGCTGACACTTTTCTGTGGCCCTCTCTCTGGCAGGTTACTTTCTGAATTTCCTGGAGCCCGTCAACAACATCACCATCGTCCAAGGCCAGACAGCCATTCTGCACTGCAAGGTGGTAGGGAACCCGCCCCCCAATGTGCGATGGCTGAAGAACGACGCCCCCGTGGTGCAGGAACCACGACGCATCATCATTCGCAAGACGGAGTACGGTTCTCGGCTCCGCATCCAGGACCTGGACACCACTGATACGGGCTACTACCAGTGCGTGGCCACCAACGGGGTAAAGACCATTACCGCCACGGGGGTCCTGTACGTGCGCCTTGGTGAGTTGAAACAGGGAGAGCATGCCCAGATCCACATGGAAAGAGATTGTGAAACCCCCACCCCACATGCGCCCAGTCCCGATTTGACTTACCTGATTACTAGTCATAAGAGAAGATAAGCATAGAAAGAACAGGCTGTGATCGTGGGGTAGGGACAGTAACCCCAGACACACAGGAGAGCTGGACAGTGTCGTTTGTTTCTCAGGAAGTCAGGCGTATGGATGGGGAGGCTGACCCTACTCTCAGATGCCAGGTACAGTGGCCTGTGGTTGGTCTTGTGGACACACCTGTGCAGGACCAAGCCAGCTTGTAGTTCTCTGTAAACTCCTGTCTGCCCTGTGTATACCTGGCCCAGCTGGAGGATGGAGGAGTTGATGCAGCATGGAGACGGTTCTGGACTTTGTAGCTGAGGAGTTAAATGGCGGAAAAGGAATATGACTCTTTCATTCCTCCCATAAGAAAGTTCCAGGCAATGGACGCTCTGACCTGGGTATCCAAGGCTGCACTGTCTAATCGCTGATTCGTAAAACAAATTCTGTGCCTATAGATGAGGAGAAAAAAAGATGGACAGAATGGGCAGCAAAGACTCCCACAGTGCCTCCAGCATCACGAGCATGGACAGAGCGTGGGGTCTGAGCCACCCGCTTCCCCAGAAGAATTCCTGCCACGCAGCCTTGTTTACTATTGATTTGATTTGAAGAGTTGTCCTCCATGTCCTGGAATATTAACAGCTATTTTTTTGTTGTTACTGTATCTTTTCTAGGTCCGACGCACAGCCCAAATCATAACTTCCAGTAAGTATCTGTTCTCCTTTTCTGATGGCGACGGTTCTGTTTTTCTCAAAATCAATTTCTTGATTTGCAAGTCAGAGTTAACAGAGAGATTGAGGGAGAGACGGAGAGAGAACATCCGTCCTCTGGTGGTCCACTGCCCTGATGGCCTCGGCTGCCAGGGCTGGGGCAGGCCGATGCCAGGAATAAGGAGCTCGAGCCAGCTCTGCTTTCCTGGGTACATTAGCAGGAAGCTGGATAGGAAGCTGGTGTCCTGGGCCCTCGTGCAGCCGGATAGGCAGCCAAAGCTCGTGCAAACACTCGAGTCCCTCTCAGCTGTGTGGGAGACCCATCAACTCACCTGGTCCGGCCTTGGTTATTGTGGGTATTTGCTGAGTGAACTGGCACGTGGAAGTGTTTCTGTCTCTCTCTCTCCAGGTCTCCTTTTCAAATACATAAAAGTGATAAATAAATTAAAATACACTTTTTCAAAGTTTGTGGAAAAATTAGTTGTAGTAAACTGGTCCCATTATGCTCAGTGAAACAAGCCAGTCCAGAGAGGACAAATATCATATGTTTGCTTTGATATAAGACATCATTCATCCAGAATACAACATGAGGGCCCAGTGCAGTAGCCTACTGGCTAAAGTCCTTGCATTGCACACACCAGGATCCCATATGGGCACTGGTTCATGTCCCAGCCGCCTCGCTTCCCATGCAGCTCCCTGCTTGGCCTGGGACAGCAGTCAAGGATGGTCCAACACCTTTGCACCCTGCACCAATGGTGTCGATATCCTGAACCATTCATTCGAAAGAATTGTCAGCAGCATGTCAAGCATGAAGCATGGCTTTGCCAGCCTCATCTCCTGAAGACTGAACACGACCAAAGCAGTGGTTATCAAGAGGGGGAGGGGTCCGGCCGTAGCACATGCAAACTGACCGGGATAAAGATCCTGGACGCAGTTTGGGTTGATGCCCAAGGTATTTTGTTCGTTGACTTTCTGGGGGGCCAAGAAACGATGGCATGTAGCTTGCCTGGAGGGTGCTTTCAGAAGCTCAAAGCTCCAGCAAGAGCAACTCCCAGGAAACATTGTCCAGAGACTCCTTTTGCCCCAGGAGTGTTCTTTTTCATTCAACAAAGGCAATTTTGTGAAATTTCTATGCCTCAGAAACCTGACTTGGATTTTTCTGATTTCTTTGTGTTTTCTAATCTTAAAAAAAATATATATGTACTTCGTGGGGCTCCCATTTTCCTATGTAACAATAGACATCGCAGACACGGTTAGATTCCCGGGACCCTCGGTTCTATAAGGATTGGGCTCGGTGGCAAAAGTGTCTTGAACTTGATGGAGCTTCTAGTAAGAAACAGAGTTTGTAATTTAAAAAAAAAAATGTGTAATTCCAGTTTCCTGTAAACTTCTTGAAGTTGCGTTGTGCACTTTCATATAGCTCTATCAGGAAGGCTAACATAGGTATTGCCACACTTATACGTCATTTAGTGATACACCCTGTAATCTATGCTCATAATTTGCAAGTAGATAGTTCTATGCAATTGATTTTTTCTGTTCTATTCCTCCTGCCTGATTGAACTGTTGTACCCCTTGACCAGTATGCCCCATTTTCTTCTACTTCACCCCACCTGTAGTGACTCTCACCCTACTTCCTAGCAGAGGACATTTTTGCACCAGAACATTCTTTGAGCAGCCACTTAGTAGGCAGGGCCCATCCAGTAGGGATCCTGTTTCTGTGGCTGTGGTTTTTCTTTTCCTAGTTGACTGTGGCCATGTTTGAAAAGACTGACCTTCTGCTGCCTCCTTTCTAGAAATTGTTTATGAGATCTCTGGAATTTAACCAAAGTGAAGAGAGAGAAAAATCCATGAATTTGCAACAGTAATCCACAAATTCTCTGCATTTGTGGCTTGAACCACCTTATCTTTTCCCATGATTTCTCTCTGGGGCTGTTTCCTTAGAAAACAGGTAAGGGTTCCCACTGAGTCACTGTTGACCCACCACCGTGTCCTGTCCATTATGTGCAGCTTTGGGACCGTGACTTGGCTTGGTTTCCTGTACACAGCAGCAGAGCCCGAAGCAGGTGTGTGTGTGGCTCTGCTTACTTATCCCTGTTTTCTCTGGGCCCCTGCCCACACAAGCTCACACATGTGGGCACCTGCTGGGCACCCAGCCTCAGTCTTGTGTGTTGGCGAGGTGTAGGCTAAGGGATTTACTCTGGTTAGATCCTGACTTCTCCTTCCACCGCTGTTAAGTTGGGGGCAAGGAGGGTGTGTACATTGAGAACAAAAGCTTTAAGAAAAGAAGGTTTCATTGCAAATGTAGGTTCAAAGACAGGGGTTATTATAGCTTACTTAGGTGGCAGTTTGGGTCATGCCAGGGGATTCTTGCTAGGCTACGTGGCTCACACTTCATATGTGGGGTTTTTTTTCCTACTCTTTTAAAAATTGGCTCATTTTCCTGATTGTGGATCCACCCACATTAATGCCTGTGGGGGGTAGCAGGGCAGGATGGGGGTGCTCCCAAGCCCTTCATCTATCTTTCCTGTTGTCTTGGACCAGTTTCCTGGCCCACACGTGCACGTATCCACTGCATGCTGCACACAAACAATGGCTTTAAGAAAGAAACACCGTTCCCTGGGACAGTTAAAGTTCTGTCACTATCTGTTGGTTCCTGGAAGAACACCTGTCTTGGGACTGTATCCTGAACATTCCTATTTATGACTTGACAGACATCAGTTCACGCTAAAGATCACCATTCTGCACCTGGCTGCTCATGTTCTGGAAGCTCCACTTCTAGGTCTGGCTTATCTCCTCATCTCTGGATCCACACACTCACCCCTTAATGAGTATCTCAAAATGGATGACTCATACTGGGCGTGTCAGAACATAGCTTGGCTGTCTTCTTCCTCCCATTTCTTCCATTGCTATTTTGGGGGAATTATCCTAGTCTGGTTCCAACTTTATCCTAATTACAGTAAAAACGGCACCATCAGAAAAACTTGAACCTGCCAACCACCAAGCTGATAATTAAAGCTGACTTCAGCTGCGTTTCTGTGGATACGCAAACTCTCCCAGACAGGAAGCTGACATACGCGTTGATGTGAAAGTAGTTAGACGCCAATCTGATCAAGTTCAACTCAAATAGACCTTAGAGGAGGAGGAAAGCAAACTTAGGCTTTTCTCAATGACTTCTTTCTTACAATCGATCCGATTTTCTGGAAAATGGACCTTTCTTTAAGTCCTCTAAGTGCAGAAGCTGGAGTAAAATATAGACATGTAATGAATTTTAAGATTACATGAAACAAGCAATAAATGACCAAATAAACATTCAGTGGCAAAGTCATTAGAGATTAATAAACCCTCACATCTCCTTAATTCAGACCACACAGGCATTATGACACAGATGAATGGTCCTGACTCATTAAGGTTCTGTATGGGATTTCTCGGCTGCATGACAATGCATACAGCCATCTCTCTGCTTTGTGTGTTCATTGTATTATTCAATACATCACATAAACATTCAACCCTTTTATTATAAAGAAGCTATGTCTTAGATGATATTGCACAACCACAGGCTAATGTAAGAGTTTTCAGTACAACCTAGGGTTGGTCAGGCTAAGGTTATAAGGTTATAGGGGTTCAATGCATTTTCCACTTGTGATGGCTTTATCAGGATATAACGCAAGCAGAGGCTGAGGGACATCTGTATCTACAACTGCAAACAGTGACGGTACCAACTGGACTGTGTAAGCAGCAACACGTTCAGAGCTGCCACCAAGCCTTTTCTTTTGAGCCCCACTTGCTGCGCTTCAGCTCACATACCCTGTTCCGCAAGAAGAGCTTTGCGTACGCCAGCCGCCAGAGGCACCCAGGGAAGCAGGGACCTTCGGAGCGGGGAGGTCTGGCTTACCAGCCACCTGAGCACCGCATGGGAGAAGAAGATTGGCTTGCCAGTGAACTTATGCCTCCAGATCAACAAGCTTTCTCAGCCTCTACTCACCTTACACAGACCTGGCCTTAGAATTGGCCACATGGTTTAGTTTGTATTCGCTTGACCATTGATAAGGAGATCACCCCTTCAGAACCACTGTTAGTACTTTTTCCAGTGTGTGAGTGTGTACATGGTGTGTGTTTTTGAGTTACAGGAGCTTTAAAAAAAATATGTTGTGTGTGTGGGTCCTTTGTCAAGCATACATGTTCTTGTAGCCTGTGGTGTGCCTCTGTGTCTTTTTTAGTATTGATTCTCGATGGGCAGGGAATTTTCATTTTGATAAGTTCTAGATAGCATTGTTTTCTTTTGCGCATCATGTCTGTGAGAGGCTTACCAACCCCAGCGTTGCCGTGATTTTCTCTTATGTTTGTTTCTGGACATGTTACACACTTAGGTTTCATGTTCTAGTCTGTGGTCCATCTCAGAAATCATTTGTGTGGCTAGTGTAAGTTACGGGTCTGACTTCATTTTTATTTCTGTGCAAATATCCAGTTGTTCTGATTTCATTTTGACAATACTTCCCTGCCCCCTCAGTCAGCCTTGACACCTTGGTTGATCACTTGGTATGCTGAGGTTCTCGGTCACGTTTGGGTAAAGTCTGATGGTTGGGTGATGTAACACTTTCATCTTTGTCCTCCCCCCCCCTTAATGTTTTGGCTGTTCTAATGCCTTTTCATGCATGTAAATTGAAGAATCAACTTTGTCAGTTCCTGTGAGAGTGCCTACTGAAAGTTTGTTAAATTTCTGATTTTGGAATGATGTCAAGCTTACGAAAAAGATCACTGACAGCAAAAAGTAATCCCGAATCCTCTTTATTCCTATTCATGGATTTTGTCTTTTTGCATAATTGATGTGTAACTCCCGTTTCTCAGTCACTTGAGAGCTGATTACAGGCATGACATCCTTTTGCCCTGTAATTCTTCCGTGTGTGTGTTGCCTAAGATGAGTTTATCTTCTCTCATGTAGCAACAGCTTCACATTGAGAATGTGTGTCTTACATTCTTACTGTAGTTTCTTTGGTT